TGCGCCTCTTCCGCCGAGCCCTGAAAACTCATCTGTTCCATGCGGCCGGCCTGGCGTAGTTTTGATTGGGTTTTGTTAGGGGTTTTATATTTTAGAGCAGGCTTTTATGTAATATTTACTGTGATTTTTATTATTGCCTGTTCACCGCCCTGAGTCCCGTAAGGGAGATAGGGCGGTATATAAATTTAAATAATAATAAATAAATAAAATAAAGGACTTAAGTATCTGTTCTCATCTTAGGCATAAACAAAATCCCTGCTTATAAATATTTACTAATTTGCCAGGCACTATAAAGTAACTGTTATTTAAAATTCTAACCTACTCTACCTTCTGCAGGTGCTATGGACAAAGAGAGCTGCTTCCAAAATCTCTACAAGGCGTCTTTTGATAATATGTCCATTTATCTAAAAAAGAAAGAAGAGAGACTACAGCAGCAGAAAAATAAGAGGAAAGATCCACAGTATGAATCAAGCGAACAGACCAAAAAAGTCAGAACTGAGGAGCTGTCCTGATAATACTCAGTGCTGTCACATTTCTGAGTTTGGAAGCAGCTGAACAGAAAACAGAAACTTTTCCTTAGGCATAACTGAAATTAAATCTGCCTGATGGTTAGTGTCAGCATACCTCACCCCTGACAAATAGCAAAAGACGTAACCTGATTAACAAGCCACATCCCAGTGCCTTTAAGTGACTCGTTTCTAAATGTATGGCTTTAAAATGTTGCTTGAATGACAGTGCTGAAAGTAATACCTAGAAAAGGATTATAACAAAGAACTTCTCCAAATCCAGTTGATCAGATTTTCTTCCTGAACCAAGAATATGCTGTCTCAACAATGTCAAAATGGACCCAAATCATTGCATAGTGTCAAACTTCTACCCAGCCATCTTTTCCAGAAGTTGAGGCAATATATACCATATAGTTATATAAGAAAAAAACTGGATTACTGCCAGAGTTCATGGTCAAGCCCAGTTATTCTTGGGATTTTGTAGCTGAAGATTTTGTTGAGTTCTCTAGTAGATCTGATCTACTGAATCATAGAAACAACCCGAAGGAAGCCCTTAAAAATGGCTTTGCTTAACTCCAGTTGTCTTTAATGCATTTAAATAGGCAGAAACACAAATTAAGTGTTAACGTAGTTCATGGCAGCTGTAATATTACAACAAATAGTGTCTGCAGTAAGCCTCAGTGATGCAAAAATGATTGTATTAATTACTTCATGTCACAAATCTGCCATTAAGTAAGGACATAATATCTAACACAAGAACATAAGTGGCAATATTTGGATCAGGACATGTTTGATTGGCACTGTAATTAAGTTGATCTCTTTCAACAGTAAAAAGGTAAAGGAGTCTCTGCTGATTTTACTCTGCTGGTCTGTGCTGACCATAGGGGACGGTGCTTGTTTCAAGGCCATTGAGCCAGCGCTGCCCGAAGGAATTTCCTCAGTTCATGTTGCCACGGAATTATTCAGTTGAACAGTAAAGAAGTAATAAACGTTTACGGAACATCTATTTTAGACTGCATTCAATCAATGGGAAGATCTCTCAGTTTTTTTCAGTCCAAAGCTTGCAATTTGATGTTAACAACTGCAGTGCTTGAATAGTATTTAATCATCCTTAAGACATCTGAGAGATTTGGCGATATATGTGAAAACAATTTGAATGCGCTTGATCAGCATCTTGTTTTGTGTATTTAAATCCCAATTAGTGACATGCAAAATCAAATGTAAAATTTGGATGATTGTGGATACTGCCCCCATTTCCTTTCCAGTTATTTTGCATAAAGAAAATAACTGAATTTGAAATATTTATATAGATTTTGACCATGCAGAGAATAAAGCCACATGTTTTGATGCATGTCCAATATATACATGTCCAATATATACATATCAAAACTATAACAGAATCACTGAACTCCGGGATAAATAGTGATTACCTTATAATAGCTTTTCCAAAAAGCTAGAATTAACCTTGATGTATTTATGCATAAAGCATGTATTAGTCTTTTCTTCAAAGTACTTGAATCCTGTCCTATTTTGGCAGCTGCAATTTAGTGTATATTTAAAAGAAACAACGCCTGCAATTAATTGCAGGTGCAGAATGCAGAGTTTTGATCACAATAGCTCCTTTTTTTAAAGACCTAGTTTATTTTAGCTACTTTTGTTGGTTGCATCACTTCAATCTG